CTTCCCTCTCTCGGAAGTAGCTCTCTTTCACCCTCGCGGCTTCCCCGTCATGTCGCTCGGCCCGGATGTACGCCCGTCTGGCCTGGACGGAGGCCTCCCTCAACTCGGAGAGGGCTTCCGTCCACCAATAACCGGCGCCGGCGGGGGTGGGACCGAGTCATCGTAACATCGCAGGCCGACGCTACGATGCACACCAGCTCCCTAGCCCATCCTGGGGGCTAGGGTCTTACACACCTGGCCCCGCAAGGTGTCAGGTGCTCACGAGGACGGCCGCCTGGAACTTGTCCACGTCAAATTGATTGGTGGCCCACCCTATGGGATGGGGAAAGTCCCCCTTTCCTGGGCGGCGGTCCAGCACCCGCGGAAGGGCGGGGAGACCAATGGACTATACTATACACCTGTGGTCCGAGAGTTTCACTCTCGGTCTCCACCGCTTACTTCCAGAACATCCGGGCGGCCAAGATGGAGGCCCATGTCAAGTCAATGACGGATTGCCCTTTGGCCGCACGCAAGTGCTGATCGACCCTCTGTTTATTAACAGGTGGTCGAGCTCCGCGTCCCAGTCGACCAGGGCTTTGCCCCGGGGATCCTCCTGCCGGGGACTGCAACCCCACTCTGTGGGGTGGGCGTTGAAATCCCCGGCTATCACGACGGGTTGGAGATGGCGACGAGCCACATCCCCGACCTCATCGAGGATCCCCTTGATGTAGGCGAGTTCGCCCAGACCGACCCTGTTCCTGCGGTGGGGGAGATAAACCCCCACCACAGTGATGGGCCTCCAATCAACTGCCACATAGGAGTCCCCCTTTGCCCTGAGTATACAGGGGGGACCCCTTCACGGGACCATCATAGCTGCGGAGCCGCATCGGCTCCCGAACCAGCTAGTGCTGTTCATCGGGATCCAATGCGGCTCCGTTGCCAACCCCAGCCCAGCACCCAGCTCGTTGATCCTGTTCACCCACAGGTCCTAAGCTCGGGCACTGCGGCCGAGATTAGCCTGTATGACCCGGAGGGACGTGAAGGCAAAGCCGTTCACGCCTCCTCCGGACGCACTACATCTTCCTCCCCAGAGAGGCCATCTATCTGAGCGAACATATCCATGTCCGACAGAATCCCCTCCGAGGAGGTTTCTGCTATGATGACCATAACCGACATAGATGCCTCTTCGGATGCACAGAGGGGTCCTACCTCTATGACCCCCTCCTCTGGAGAGTATGAGTGGGGTCATCTAACTGGGGAATCAGGGATGGCGCGTTCTCCAACTCCCCTTCAACTAGGGTTGTTGGGAGTGTGGCACAAACCTCCACCCTCCTCACCTTCTCCATTGCAACCGTCGAGGGATGACGCCTCCTCCTCTGCTGCTGCTGTCACCTCCCTCGGCTCTGCTGTATGGGCTGCCGCTTCCATGGCTCCCCTTTTCTTCTTTTTCCTCTGGGACAATGGCTCCTCCGGGATTTTCATTTGTGCGGTGGGGTCCAGAACGCGGACTTCAACTGCCTCCACCGCCATCGATTCCTCCTCCTTTGTAAGAAGGGAGGCCGGCTCGACCTACCCTCTGTCTTCTGTTCCCTCCGTCGATGAGGAGGTTGATCCGACCTCCCTTATATCCTTCGCAGGAGAGGGGCGCACGCGCCGTCTCCCCCTTGGCTTCGGGTCCAGCCTGCTTCTTCTTCCTCACCTCCTCCTCCTTCTTTCCCGGCCCGTGAGGGGCCGGCAAGCAGATCCACCGACCTTGTAATCGGCTTTCCTGCCTGCATTGCGCCGCTGGCGCCTCGCACTGCGAGGCGCGGTGGTCGGGGATACCGCAGCGATAACAATTATCGCTTCGGTAGTTATCGGTCGATGGCGCTCTTGCACCTCTCGCGCATGTGTCCTTGCTCCAGACATCTGAAGCATAGCATTGCGCGAGCGGGCAGCGCCGTCACCCCGGCTCGGGTCCAGCCAACCTGGACCCGCTCCGCCGCAGCGACCTCGGCAGCCGCCGCTAGCGGACACCACACTATTACCGTGGCCGTCCCTCGCTGGGAGAGACTAAGTACGCCCACGGAAACCTCCGTGGGCTGGCATCTCCCAGCGAGGGTCACGGCGGCCGTCACCTCCTCACACGGCTTCAACCGTCATATCCAAGCCGGTGAGTCATAGCATCGCGATCTTCACCGGCCTCTGGATGCGATAGTCGGGGCCCTTTTCCGCCGCCAGCTTGTGGAGCTCCTCCGCAAACCGGTCGGCGGAAGGCCCGGCGTTGAGGCCAGGCACCTCGATGAGCAAAGCCCCGGTACGGGCCGTGCGGATCTTGAGGGCTGCGGGAATGCCCATGTCCGTCGGCCTAATCCGGCGTCTGGCCTCAACCATGAATTCCTTGTAGGAATCCTTGGGGCACGTGACAGTGACGGCCGCCGATCTGGAAGGCCTCGGCTTCACCGCCGCTCCTGCTGCTCCCCTCTTCTACGAGTCGGGGGCCGGCTGAGGTGTTGGTCCGCTCTTCTTCTTCTCCTCCTCTCTCTCCTCTCCTTCTTACTCTCCTTTCTCCCGAGTACCATAGTCCACGTATCGAGACCTGTAACACTCGGCTCTTGGGAGTTGCTTGTGGGAGTTACTTCCGGGGTCCCAGAAACCTGGGCTGGTTTGTGCCCTTCTTCTTCCCTTTGGTATTGTCGTTGCTGGGATCCGCTGCTGCGTCCCTCCGGTCCTGCATCAAACCTTTCTTCCCTGCTGCCTTGGAGATAGCCCCTTCGTTTGTAGCCTGGGAGGGTGCCACCCTGGCTCCCTCCTGATCTGATGTTCCGCTAACCATTAGGCCTTCATCCTCAGCCTCTGCTGCTCCTGCAACTCCCTCGCCTTCTTCCTTCTCCTTTGCTCTCTCCTCTTTTAAGCAGTAGTCCTCTTCTCCTTTAATGTCAACTTCCCTCTCGCCCCCGCGCTCCCACCCCCAACCGAGTTGGCAAACGCCTCGCCGGCTAGGGGAGCCGGAGCCCCTCCGCGGGATGCCACCTTGTCGTGGTGGAGGGGCTCGGGCGTTCCCGTGATCCACTGGGGCAGTACCTTCGGTCCAACCGAAGGGAGGGCCCGGTGGGGAGGTACGCCCGCTAAGAGCATCCCAGGGTAGTTACGAGACCTTATGTGTCATGTTGGCACATGGTCTTGCTTTGGGAGGGAGTTCCCCCCCCCCTAGGGCATTGCACGCCGGTGCTCCGGCAGCCCTTGTGGTGGACCAAGCATACTCTCCCGTTTTGTAGGGAGCGCTCCCGAGGGCATTGCACGCCGGTGCTCCGACAGCCTGAAGGAGCGAGTCACACCTGGGTCTGCATACCGTGAGGGCTTGGGACCCCTCACGGTACCCAGGATGGCGGGGGGACTCCGGGCCGCTTGGACGTATTCCGAGGTCGGGGCCGGGGTCCCCCGGTGTGCCCGATGGATGGGGATCGCATCACCCCTAAACCCATCCATCGGGCGACGTAGTCAGGCTGGCTGCCGTGGGGGAGCGGTCCCGTCGGGGTGCGACGGCGGTGACTTAGCTCCTTCCACGGGGTCCCCCGCGTGGCGGCGCTACTGAGGGTACCCCCGGGGTCGGAGACGGGGGGCCCCCGAAACCGGCCGGGTCCCAGCAATGGGGCCTGGGCGGGAGTAAGGGGCTGGAACCCAGTGGTCGGATGATCCTCCCCGACCCAGTGGTATAGACCGGCTCCCGGGGGAACTCGGGGACACCTCCGGGTCATGTTTTCGGAGGTGCGGGTATGCCCGGCCGGTCGAGCCCTCAGTAGTGGTGGGTGATAAACACTAATGGCAGATTGTTTAAAAAAGCAAAAGGAGAGGAAAAGAAGGAGGAAGGAAGGGGAAGGATCGGTGGAGGGGTCGCCATCGGCGGCCAATCCAGACACGGATGTGTCAATGTCCTCTATGGCTGAGAAAGAAGAAGAGGATGTGGAGCTTATGCCCGCTTCCAACTTCTCTGAGGAGAAGGGAATAGCGTGGGAAAAGGACTTGCAATCTATGTCCAGATTTGTTTCTGCCATGATTGACAGAGAGGATTTTGGAAATGACAGCTGGTACGATGATGCAGATGCAAAATGGAGGGAATTCAAGAAATATACAAAGAAGTTTATATGGTCCCTCCTAAGAAAAGGAAGTATGTGTCAGGATGACGGAGTTAAGCTTAGAGCAGAACTAAGGGCACTTAGGAATGAGTTCAACAAGTGCAAGAAGGATCTTGTCAAGGTAATAATGGACAATGACGTCAGTCGACAGACGAGGCGAGACTTGGCAGAGGAGCTGGATAAGAAGGCCTCTGATATCAAGAAGGCTGCTAAGGCAAGGGATGAAGCGGAGGCTGCCCTGAAGGCATCCAAGGAGGAAATGAGGTTACTCCAGAGCCAGTTGGCTGGATGCAGAGAGGAACTTCTGAAGGCCAAGGAGGATGCGAAGAGAAGACCTGAGTGGAGGTCAGTAGCTGTCATGACGACTGATGCAGCCGAAAGACACTTGAGGAGAGACGTGTCGACCCAGAAGGAGGACGAGCGTATTATTGAGGAATGTGGGGGACGGAGCCCTGGGGACATGAAGCCGGTGATACCCACAGGAAACCAGGCCGTCCCCCTTCTCCAAATAGGGAATTGGGTAGGGTTGGAGAATGGGAGTGCGCAGAGCACCGGAAGAAGAAGAGAAAAAAGGACATGGATCGAGGTAGAGGCGTGGATCGGGTTGTACCCATCCAGCCTCGGAATGGTAGGGGTGGACAATCCTTGGAGAGGCGAGGAGGACAATTGCCTCCTATAAGGCCACCTCTGAGTAAGGGAAGGAAACGAGGAAGTGTGGGAAGAAGGACGGGGCCGGGCGGGGGCCGGATACCCCCACTGCCCCCCATTCCGGTCCCGCCGACTCCCAGTAAACAAGGTAGGAGATGGCCGCAACTTCCGGCAACCGCAGCCGTTACTGTGAGGCTGACTAGAGGGGCCTCATATGCTGAGACCCTGAAACGGGCGGAAGAAATCCCCCTCCGGGAGATGGGGATCCCGGGTGTCGATGTGGGACGTAGCGCTGATGGGGCGCTCCTTGTTCGAGTCCGGGACTCCGGCCCTGAGGGGAAGAAGGCCGACGCTCTGGCGGAGCGCCTGAGGGCTGTATTGCCAGATGCGGTTGTTAACCGGCCTGTGCAGCGCGGGGAGGTCCGCCTCACTGGTTTTAATGAGGCGGCCTCCCCAGAAGCGGTCAAGATGGCGTTGGCAGGATGCGCGGAATGTGCGCCGGAGGCCATCCAGCTCGGTCCTCTGAGGTGGGGACTCAGAGGCCGAGGGGTTGCATGGGCCAGGCTCTCTCTGGTGGCGGCTGTTAAGACCGTCAAGAGGGGCGGCTTTGCGCTGGGCTGGTCGGCCGTCAGCATTGTTTTGCTGGCGGCCAGGCCGGCCCAGTGCTTTAAATGCTGGGGCCTGGGCCACACCCGTGGTGGTTGTGTGGCCACCGTGGTTCGCGGTGGCCTGTGCTACCGGTGTGGGCAGGGCGGACATACCTCACGGGAGTGCAAGGGCACCCTGTGTTGTGCGGTTTGTCATGATGCCGAACGAGAGGTCGGTCACCGCATGGCAGGGCCTGCGTGTTGGCTGGCCTCCCGGCGGAGGGGGGCGGGGCGTAGTCGTGGACCTCCCAACGCGGGACCCGTGGGAACCGGCGTCGGATGGCGTCCGCAACAGGGGTGGGAGTATTATAACTATTAGGTGGTCATTACTGACCGCAGTGGCGGACGCGGTGTGGCGTCTGCGGATATGGGTGAGCGACGGGGGATAAGGGGGTGGTTTTACTCCCTCCTGGTTGACTGGCCGGGAAACAGCCTGGTCTGTTCCTGCTTAGGTGGGTCGGGCTAGGTGTGGACCGGCGGTCGGTCCCCCGGGCATTGCGAGCCCGGCAGGGATACGGTCTTCGCCTGCAAGCCGGGCGGCGAGTGATCGCATTGCCTGGCAGCGGGTTTTTCTTCCCTGTGGCGCTGGGGGTGGAGGCTTTTTCCTCCCTTTGTGCGTGCCGCCCTCGGGGGTTTGCCCCTTCCTTGGGCCTCAGGGGGGAAATCGGGGAGGTGGAACCAACCCGATGAAGGCCGGGCCCACCTCTCCATCCTCCTCACTTCGAACACCCGGAGTGAGTGGAGGAAGGGGGGTTTGGAGACCCCCCTCCCTCGCCGGCCAAACAGTGCTGGTCGGCAGCGGGTCAGTATATTCTACCCCGCTTCACCGCGCGTCACAATATGGACGGCGCTTCCAACGCCGGAACGGTGGTGAGGAACTTGTCCTTGGGAAAGGTTCCCAAGGACGAGCATGGCTAGTACTCCCCCTTCCGGTTCGGAGTGAGGGATACGGTGACGGGGCTTGTGTGGGAATGGTGATTGGGCGCATGCTTTTGCCTCTTGAGGTAGAGACTGCTCTCCCTTCCCCCCCTAACCACCCCCCCTTCACTAAGTCCGCGGCGCGCGTTAATCAGTAGTGACGCTTCCACGCGTGAGACGGCGACGGATGGGAAGGAATAGGGGACTGGTTCCCCGTCCTTTGCCTTTTGTCCTGCCGGAGATTCCTCCAGGAGTTTTAGTGGGTGCAAGTCCCACATAACCTCGGCTCCCCCCAGGGTCGGGGTACCCGATAGGGGTTTCTCCTGAATGATAAAAAAAAAGGGGGAGCCGGAGCGGGAGGGGGAGTGGGAGCCGACCTCACCTGCTCCCTGTCTGGGATCCAGGATCCTCTATCCGCCACGACCCTTTCCCTGTGCCTGAGGAACTCCTCAATCCCCCGTGTGCAGGTTTTGTACTCCGCCTCGCCTTCTGGACTCAGGTTCAAATACGCCAGGTCGTCCTCCAATTCCTTCTGTACCCCTTTAATCGGGGGTCTGAAGACAGGAGGGGGGGGGATTCTTCGGCAAATCGTCGTTGAACGACGGAATTTCGCTGGAGGGACCCCCCTTCCGATCTCCTCCGAGGAGCTTTCGACTATGCTCCTCTTTTGGGTCTTCCACCTCCTCTTAGCCCCCGATGGACCCGGGCGTGTCACTTCCTCTGCCTCCGAGGCCCTGCTGTCTCCTGCTGGCTCAGCGTACGTCGTCGTCGCTGCCTGCGGTGTAGACGCTGGACCAGCCATTATCTCCCTGGCCCTCGCCTCCTCCTCGAGCTGCCGTTCTTGGCCCTGAGATTCCTCATCTCCTCCCGTAGCTCCTCCATCTTCTTTCTGACTTCGGAGATGGCATCCTCCTCCCCATCCTGCGCCGCGATCCTCGCAATGAGGGTCGTCATGATAGCTTCGGAAGTGGCCACGGCGCGGTTCATCAGTGACACGAAGGTCCCCTTGAGAGTCTTGAACCTCCGTGCCACCAGCCAATCCGTGCCTAGACAACACGGCCCGTCTCCGAGGCCAATTCCATCGATCTGGCCTCCCTCAGGAGCGCCCTCATGCCGGGATCCTTAAAAACCTCCTCGGCATGGCGTGTGTCCTTCAACGAGCGAAGGATGCCCTTGCCGAAGAGGTCCTCGGCCTCCACCTCGAAGCGAGCTTCCGTTTCCTCTCTCTTCCTGACAACTGCCGCCTCTCTCTTTTGCCTGATGCCCACCCATTATTATACGATGAAACCGTCCGGAGAGGACGATCGAGAAAACTAGATACGTTATGGATAGGACCGTATGAGATAATTGAGAAAAACTCTGATGTAAATTATATGATAAAAAAGGAACGAAAACCAATACGCATCCATGTGAATAGATTAAAACTTTTCATCGATAACTAACATAAAACAAGAGAAAAAAGGGAAATTCCGAAACATCTCTTTCTGTCCAACTACAGGGCATTAATCCTTGGGACGACACAGTTAACTGCTACAGAACCCAGTTTTGACCCAGCATACGAGATACAGGAATTTCAACATAATCCTGGAATCTACTTTGAGAAAATAGGGCATTTGTACAAGACCAAATCAGTATGGAAATTAGTGATCAAATTGGAGATACACTCTCTGAACACTAGAGTGAGCAGACTTCAAGAATACGACAACCAGACAAGAAAAATATGCAGCAAGCTAAATCTAGGGAATGCCGTGAGAACCACTTGCTACAATCTGTACATCGTTATAGGAAAAGACATCGAATGGGTAACGAAATTACTAAAAAGCATCGACTTAATATATAAGCCACACACTAATCTGCAACGTGGAATGATAGACGGAATAGGATCCATAACAAAAATACTATTTGGAATAATGGATGCGAATGACGAAAAAATCATTATCGAACAGATGCATTTACTGAGTAATAACCAACAGATTCTACAACATTCTCAGAAACACCAAATCGAAATCTTGAACGCCACTATAGTTCACCTAGGCAATCTAGAGACTACTTTAAGTCATAACGAAGACATTTTAGTAAACCACATGCGCAAAATTCAATTAGAACAGCGTCAAGAACTAATATGGGACGAAATAGACGAACATTTCGCCGTCATAAATATGATTATTGCTGATTTAATGCGAGACGTAAAAAACGTAATAGAATATTTACTGCATTTAAGACATGGGGTATTGCACCCACACCTAACACCCGTTGCCGATGTAATAACTAAGCTTAAGGAAACCTCATTTAAATTACCATAAGGGACGTATTTTCCATTTGCAATAGATATAGGAAATTGGTTAGAAATGGAAAAACTGATAACTATAAGCGTTTATTATAGGAACGGATACCTTTTTACTATTTTACGGATTCCACTAGTCACCTACATCGCTTATGATATATTACATGTAATCCCTATACCTATACTCAACCACAGTAATATTTTCGCTTTAGCCGATATTAATTACTTCACGGTAGCAATCGACAAGGACGAACATACATATATGATATTAACCAAACAAGATCTAGATAAATGCGCACAACCCCAAACCACATAAGTAAATGAACAAAATAATCCGGTATATCAAATAAATTCCAAAACACCGTACGAAATACAAATATACGCGCAATCACGACCATTCATACAAAGTTATAGTACAAAATATATTAGTATTAATTGTACGATCATTATTCCTTTGAAATATTCACATTCATGGTTATACTCGACACCCTGCAAGAAAACAATTTCTATAGCTTGTCCAAAAGTCAAGAAATTAGCCAAACTTATAAGATCAGGATTGATAAAAGCATACCAGGAATGTAAGTTCACAATTGACGACATAACTCTAGCTGCTCCTGGTACGATAAAGGAAAATACAATTCCAACATATTTACCTGATTACAATCTAACCATCCTGGGAACCAAACCACTAGTAGAGGAACACAAGAACAAAATACCACAATTATATCTAAAGAAAATTCCACATCCTGACAAATTATTAAAATTAAGTACCAAATTAGAAGATATAAGTATAAATTTAGAAAACAAACAAAACCCATTATGCACGCACAGCCACATCATCTTCCCCACGATGAGCTGCATAATTATTTTAATAATAACAATCTCCACCATATGGGTCATTAAACAACTAAGAAAACGCAAACGCAGTAACCCAGTAAGTAACGCAGTAACGCAGTAATCGACATGAAAAAAGGGGATCTAGCATTAACATGACACGACTGTAAGAAAAAAACTGTCACCGGGAACACATATAATTGTATCTGTTTGTATAATTATTGTTATTATTTATTATGCGAAAACGTCGTGCCTCCGTTTTCTGTTCCCAATAGGGGGAGGGTATTATAACAGTGTCCTAATTATTCCACCTTACGTTACAGTTAGTTAGTAAGCGCGCAATACACAATTCGATTAAAGTGCTGACGCTATAAAGTAATACTAAAACATATAATACATAAAGTAATAATATTTGTAATACATAAACTTGCAACTCTGCTGACTGAGACTACGAAAGTAGGTTATTGTATCAGTCATACCATAAGCACCAGGATATATAAGACTGGAGCCGAAAAAGAAGAACAGATAGAAGATTGAACCGAGAACTGAGCGATAGTTAACGTATAAATCCGGGTCCGTTATTCTACATTAGAACGTAAGCGCAAGTGTAAGAAGGAACGAAACGCCATTTTCCTTTGTACGACAGACTACTTCTATCTCGCCTGGACCCCAGCGAAGCTCGGGATCCCAATCCCTAAGACCACGAACGAACCCGAAACCTAACCAGCCTTAGTGCATCAGGCGCGAAGGCCACGACATCTGTTTTACGAATTATCTCATAGTCGTATTCTTCTAACTTTAATCGCCATACTAATGGTTTATGGTCGGTGACAATTTTAAATTTTGTCCCATACATGTACGGTCGAAAATGTTTAACTGCCCATTGCGAGCAGTTCCTTTTCCGTCGTGTTGTAGTTTTGCTCGGCGTGCGATAAAATTCTGCTAGCGTAAGCTACCAGTTGATCTTAACCTATTCCTCCCTGCGACAATGTAGCTCCGATGGCGTAATCTGACTCGTCAGTAGTAATGACAAATTCTTTCGCAAAATCGGGAATTGTTAGGACTGATGCGGTAGTTAATTTAGTTTTTAATGTATCGAACGCGTTTTGCTGTTCCTGAGTCCATAAAAACGGCTCCTTCTTTTTTGTTAGCTTAGTTAAAGGCTTGGCTATTCGTGAGAAATCTTCTATAAATCTTCGATAGCAACCTGCCAATCCGATGAAGGATTGTATATCACTTACTTTCTTTGGAGTAGGGAAACTTATGACGGCTTCTAGTTTCGT